ATCCCACTGAAATCTGGGAATGAGGGTCAGATCCCACTGAAATCTGGGAACCATCTACAGGGAAGGGACAAGGACACAGGGAAGGGACAGGGACACAGAGACAGGGGGACAGGGATGGGAAGGAACCCACGATGGGACAGGGACACAGGGATGGGACAGGGACACAGGGACAGAGAAGGGAGAGGGACACACGGACACAGGGATGAGACACAGGGATGGGACAGAAACCGAGGGATGAGACAAGGACACGGGGAAGGGACACGGGGATGGGACAGGAGGACAGGGACACGTGGACAGGGATGGGACAGGGACACGGGGAAGGGATAGGGACAGGGGCACAGAGACCCAGGGATGGGACACGAAGATAGGACAGGGATGGGACAGGAGGACAGGGACACGGGGACAGGGACACGGGGACAGGGACACGGGGAAGGGATAGGGACAGGGGCACAGAGACCCAGGGATGGGACACGAAGATAGGACAGGGATGGGACAGGGACACAGGGACACAGGGACAGGGACACAGGGATGGGACAGGAGGACAGGGACACGGGGACAGGGTGATGGCACAGGGGGACAGGGACACGGGGACAGGGACACGGGGACAGGGACACGGGGACAGGGACAGCGCAGCCCTGGCCGCTCCCCGCGGAGCTTCACGCGTTATTTGGTCCCAACAATGAGCGGGCGATGGGAGCTGCGGAACAACAATGGGATTCGGGAATGACAAACAGCGACACCGGGGGAACAACAGCGCGACTTTGGGGACAACAATGCGACACGGGGACAATGGCCCCGGCGGGGACGAGGTGGCCCCGCTCCGCAGGAGCCGCAAAAAATCCTTTTGTCCCCCCGGGATCCCGGATTTCCATCATCCCCATGGATTTCAGCCGCACTGCTCCCCTTTGGGGCCGCTTGTAGGGCGTTTGCCACGTATAAAAAAAAAAAATTAGATGTATTTCTATAGATTTATAATGTATATTTCTAGATATATTTTCCAAATATTTTTCTATTTTTCTATCTATATTTTATAATCTATATTTATATATTTCTCTTTATTTATATATATATTATATATATAAATATTTCTATGTATTTATTTTTCTCTATATATAATCTCTATATATTTTCTATAAAAACACATATATTTTTATATATATATTATAGTTTATATATTTATATATAAATATAAAGTATTTACATTATATATGATACTATATATAATATAGTATTATATAATATATAATATGTAATGTATGTTGTATAATACATATAGTATAAAAATATATTAAATATAAGTATTTTACATTTTCAATTTTAAAAAATATATAAAAAATCTAAAATTTTACTCTCATTTTTTTCCCCTCGTTTTTATCTTTTTGCCATTTTATTTTTTCCGTTTTCTTCCCTTGATTTTATTTTTTTTTCCTGATTTTATTCTTCACACTTTAATTTTTTTCTGATTCTATTATATCCCTGATTTTATTTTACTTTTTTCCTGATTTTTATTCTATCTCAATGCCTTTTTTTTCCCTTTTTCCCCCCTTGCTGGATTAGAGACTCTGGCACCTCTGCCTGGATATTTCCAAATCCCACAGGATTTTTTAAAATTTAATCCTGCAATTCTGGCAGAATCAATTTTGGGATCATTTTTATCATTCCTGGATTTTCTCATCCCTCAACCAAAACCAGCCAAGATTTGGATTTAAACTCTCCCCAAACTTTGATTTATCAGCTCCAAAAAACATCTTTTACCAAAATAAGATAATTGGGAATTCTGAAAGATTTTCTCCAAAATTCCTCCCCAAATCCAGGCAATTCTGGCTGGGTGGGAGGAGCAGAAGTTCAGCACCCAAATTTTGGTGAAATTCAGCAGCTCCAGCCTAAATTCTCTGTACAAACTAGACAATAAAACAATTTAAATTATCCAGATTAATTATGGTTAAAAAATTATTTTTTTCCCAATAATAAATTATTTTTTTCTGCAATAATTAAACCATCCCATTTCCCAGTGTTTTCCCACCTTTTGGAAATTTTCCAGCTTGGAGAATTATCAAATAAAAACACCCAAACTCCAACAAAAGTTCATAGAAATCCCACTTTTAATCATGGACAAATTGAATTTCAAGTAAAATCAACAGTTTTAAATAAAATATAAATTACCAGAGGACTGGGAAAGACCCTGTGCACGTTCTCCTCTGCTTTTCCAGTTCTCTTCACATTCCTGGAGTTTCTGGGAGGTCTCTCCACCATCATGGAACAGAAATTTGGGATTAAAAGCAGCAGCTGGGGCCACTGGGAGGGTGAAGTTTCCAAGGAAAAAAAAAGAGGGAACAGAAATGATGGGAGCAGTTTTTTGTTTTTTTTTTAATGGAAGCACAGCATTGGATGGGAGGGATTTTCCTTCTCCATCCCAGCAGTGATTCCTGAAAGGAAAAAAAAAAAAAATTAAAAAAATCAAATAAAACGTCCTTAAAGGTTTTTTTTTTTTCCTGTTTTTGGAAATTCCCGTTCTTTGAGACTCCAAACTGAGAGCAGGGAATCCAGCAAGGAAAATCCAAGCTGATCCCATGGGATTTCAGCCTCTCCCAAAGGTGGGAACTGAACTCATCCTCAAAGTGCAACATTCCCAAAGCAAAGTCATTTTTTGGCATTTTTCCCTCAGCACCCCGTTCTCCTGGAATTCCCAAGCCTGCCTGGAACTCCCAACTCTGCTTCTCCAAGGGGCAAAAAAAGGGAGGAACCCTGAGGCAAAAATGGCTTTTTTTTTGTTGGTTGTTGTTGTTTTTTTTTTTGTGTGTTTGTGTGTGGATGAATCCTCCATCCCAGAATCTCAGAGGAATCCCGGGATTTTCTGTGGATGAATCTCAGAGGGATCCTGAGATTCCTGGGATTTTCTGTTTGAATCTCAAAGGGATCCTGGGATTTTCTGTGGATGAATCTCAGAGATTTCCCAGGATTTTCAGTGGATGAATCCCAAGATTTTCAGTGGATGAATCTCAGCAATTTCCTGGGATTTTCAGAGGATGAATCCCAAGATTTTCAGTGGATGAATCTCAGCCATTTCCCGGGATTTTCAGTGGAAGAATCCCGGGATTTTCAGAGGATGAATCTCGGGATTTTCAGAGGATGAATCTCAGACATTTCCCGGGATTTTTACTGGATGGATCTCAGCCATTTCCCGGGATTTTCAGTGGAAGAATCCCAGGATTTTCAGTGGATAAATCTCAGCCATTTCCTGGGATTTTCTGTGGATGAATCCCGGGATTTTCAGAGGATGGATCTCAGCCATTTCCCGGGATTTTCAGTGGAAGAATCCCAGGATTTTCAGTGGATNGGATTTTCTGTGGATGAATCCCGGGATTTTCAGAGGATGGATCTCAGCCATTTCCCGGGATTTTCAGTGGAAGAATCCCAGGATTTTCAGTGGATGAATCTCAGGATTTTCAGTGGATGAATCCCAGGATTTTCAGTGGATGAATCCCAGGATTTTCAGTGGATGAATCTCAGGATTTTCAGAGGATGGAGCTCAGCCATTTCCCGGGATTTTCAGAGGATGGAGCTCAGCCATTTCCCGGGATTTTCAGTGGATGAATCCCGGGATTTTCAATGGATGAATCTCAGCCATTTCCCGGGATTTTCAGTGGATGAATCCCGGGATTTGCAGTGGATGAATCCCGGGATTTTCAGAGGATGGATCTCAGCCATTTCCCGGGATTTTCAGTGGATGAATCCCGGGATTTTCCGAGGATGGATCTCAGACATTTCCCGGGATTTTCTGCGGGGGAAGCCCCTCCTGGATCCAGAGGGAAGGGGAGGAGGCGCTGCGGAGCAGGCGGCGGTGGATGCGGCGCAGGCGGAGCAGGTAGAGCAGGATGGAGAGCAGCACCACCAGGAAGCAGGCCAGGAACAGGTAGTGGTTGTACACAAAGGAGAAACTCCTCCAGTGAGAGTGAGTCCCACGGAAATTTTCCTGCTGGATGTCCCTGGAAAAGAGCAGAGGGATAAGGGTCAGGTCTTAGAGGAAAAAAAATCCATTTCTGACTTGGCTCCGGGCAGGAATCAGAGCTCATTTCGGGGAATAGGATTTAAAAAATACAGGTTGAGGCTCTAAAAGCCACAAGTTCCCATCCCCAAAATTCCCCTCCCAAAGGCTTTTCCCAGATTTTTTGAGAGGATGACCATGGAAAAGAGCAGAAACGCTTTGGAGGCAAAATTCCACTTCCAGCTTGGCTCAGGGCAGGAATCAGAGCCCATTTTGGGGGGAACAGGCTCTAAAAAACACAATTTGAATGATCTCCACCTCTTCCCATCCTAAAATTCCCTTCACAAAAGCTTTTCCCAGATTTTTGAGAACCCTGGAAAAGACTAGAGACACTTTGGAGGCAAAATTCCACTTCAAGCTTGGCTCAGGGCAGGAATCAGAGCCCATTTTGGGCAGAACAGGCTCTAAAAAACACAATTTAAGGGATCTCCACCTCTTCCCATCCCCAAATTCCTGTTCCCAAAGGCTCCTGCCGGGTTCCTGGGCTACCTGAGGGGCAGGAAGCGGGTCCTGTAGAGGATGGCCCCCAGGGTCCACTGCACCTCCTTGTCATAGACCTGCAGAGCTGTCTTCAGGCTCCCGTAGCTCTCGGGGAAGGAAAATCCCCGGTGGAAAACCTCGAACATCCAGGCGGATTTAAAGCACTGGAACCTGAGGACAACAGTGGGATCAGGCAGGGAAATGGGGTCAGGTAGGAAAAGGAAGAAACAGCTGGGGGCAGTGGGGTCAGGGACAGTGGGATCAGTCAGGGACAGTGGGATCAGGAATATTTGGATCAGGAACAGTGGGATCAGGAACATTTGGATCAGGAACAGTGGGATCAGGAACAGTGGGATCAGGAATATTTGGATCNACAGAATTCTCCACCTTTTCCAAGGAGTTTTTTTTCCCCAATTCCCAAATTTTTTCCCCCCACTTCCAGTGACCCAGTGAAGTGGACAGGCCCTGGCAGCCGTGCAGGAGGAATTTGGGGCCAAAGCCCAAAGCCCAAAGCCCAAAGCCCAGCCCTGCTCACTTGAGGCGGTGCAGATCCGCGTGGGGGGCGTAGAGACCGCGCTCGAAGCGTTCCCGCAGCACCGACCACTTGGTGGCACAATAATCCTGCAGGAAACAGAAAACATCGGGATTTCTTCGGGAAAAATTCTGCTGGGGGACTTTGGGAAACAGAAAACATCGGGATCTCTTAGGAAAAGTTCTGCTTTGGGAAACAAAAAACATCGGGATCTCTTAAGGAAAAGTTTTGCTGTGGGACTTTGGGGAAAAAAAAAATCCTTGTGGATGTTATAAATTAGAAATTGATCCCTTTTTTTCACCTGTGCAGCTTTAGTGAATTCAGAAATTTGGGATTCCCTAAGGAATTTGGGATCTCTTA